GGAGAGGCATCTCATGTGCTTGCTGACCTCAGGTGGGCCTCTCCCCTTTTTCTAAACCACCTCTACCTTCTAGCCAGCCTCTAGGAAGAGTCTGGGAAGTGAGTTCACTGATTGCCAAAGGCACTCCATGTCTTTCTCCCCAGGAACTGACAATTAGCAATGGCAATCAGGTCTGTGCAAAGTCGACCAGATTTAGAATCCAAGAATCTGGGTTCCTGACCTGAGGTTGACCCACCCCAAAGTACTTTGGTGACTGGACTGCTGGCAAGGGTCCCTGTACCCTGAACTTCTGTGTCTTCTTCTGTAGATAGAAATGTTGAATTGCCAGCCTGGAGGCTTTCTGTCACCCCATCATGGTAATGTACTTAGAGTGTGAACAGAGAGTGACTGTGGAATGGCAGCCTGTTATCAGACAGGGGACTAGTCTGCCTTAGCCTAGGGAAGAGGGAGAGGGTGAATTCCCAGCAGCCCCAGGCTGGAGACCTACTGGAGGGAGTGCTTTCACAGCAGAGGGTAGGGGTACCAACTCTGCTGTCTGGGGAGGAGATGAAGGGCATTCTGCCCCCTTCTTTTGCCAGCACCTATTTATATCCCAGTTGTTCTCTGCTCAAACCCCTGAAGAGGGCGGGGGACCATCTGGTGTACCTAAGGAAGGGTTAGGTAAAGAATTAGCACATGGCTCTTTGGGGCATGTGTCCTGGTGCCGGGCCACCACCACCTGTAGCAATGCCAGTAGATTTATGAGCCTCCTGTCACCAAAGCATGTGCCACTTCACTTTCACTTCCCTGGGATAACCAGACAAAAGGGGTCTAAAAGGCCCATGTCTCTGGCTTGGAGCAAAACTTTGAAACTGGAGCTAGGACATGGAGCCAGGTGTCACAGTGTGGAGTCTCCTTCCTCACTTGCAGGTGCTGTCGGGTGTTCTGTATCCCAGTCCCTGCTATCACACTGCACTGGGCTAGAGGCTGTGAGATTTGGGCATCCAGGCAGGATTTAATTACAGGACACTCTGTTCCCTTCCCAGAACTGCCTGCTTCTTTCACCTTCCCACTTCCCTCACTCCACTGAATAGCCTACTCAGGGCAGGCCCTGGGGGTCCACAAGTGACATGGGCATGGCCTCTGTCCACAGTATTGGTTCTGGGATGACCATTCCCTTAGGTTTTAGATCTGGGAAAGATTTTTCTTTATTGAAGACAAGGAGAACTTGTCAGGGCTCAAGTGTATACCCCGATAAGCCTTCCTCTAACCTGCACTTCCTCATTTACTGGGGTGGAGCCATTACAGGCCAGGATGTAGAGATGTGTCAGACAAAATAAGTGAAGGTCCAAGCCTCTGGCTTCCAAGAGCTCATGAGCATTGTCACTTATACTCAGAAGTCAACAGTTATTATATGTGGATGTGAGAATGGTAATGATGTGTACAGGGGCCCTGGGCACAGGGAGGAGAGGGCTGCTAATCTGACCTGAAATGGAAGAGGGACATGATAGGCAGTCAGGCAATCAGGCACTACTGCCTGGAGGAGGCAATACTTGAAGGAGGACTAGGTGGGTTTGCCAGACACAACTCAGGATTCCCAATAAAATGTGAATTCCAAATAAACAAGGGATGATTGTTTTAGTCTAAGTATGTCACAAACATTACATTGCACATTACATTACTCATTGCTTATCTTAAATTCTAATTTCACTGGGCATTCTGTATTTTTATTTGCTGAGTCTGGGAACCGCATGGGTAGGGTTTCTATAAAGGCAATGGAGGGTGTCATAGATAGAAAACAGCATGGGTCAAGGTTATTTCCAGACATTCCCCAAACCCAGTAGCAAGTCAGGTCAGTCCTTGAAAGAGCCAGGATGCTTGATACTGCTCATCCACAGAGGAGGAAGGAAAAAGAAGCAAGACCATTTTGCTTCTAAGTGTCTTTCAAACTTGACTGAAAGTCTAACCCTGTGTGTGGCTCATGTGCCCATAGAAACTGAGATTAGCATCCTTTATTTCAGGAGGCAGAACAGTCATTAATAGCTCTGTTTAACAGGTGACAATGCTAAAGCCAGAGGGATAACAGGCTTGGGACCCCATCCTAAGTCTGTTAGAGTGAAACTGAGACAGGACCCAGTGTTTCCTGACTTTGGATCAGAATGCTTTTCTCTGCTTATACCAGATGCATCACTGCCCAGTCATGGACAGGAGCCCAGGAGGGCAGGAGTCCTGCTCAGAGATGCTAACTGATGGAGAGTAAGCAGTGCATGTTCTAAAAATCACTGGTGATATGATCATGGAACAGAGGAGGAGTGATGAACTGGGAGGCTCCTTTCCTCCCAGGTGTGTGGGTCAAGGCCACCAGGTAGGCACCTGGGAGGCCCCTCAGTGACCCTGCTTGGCCTGACAGTCAGCTTTGAACAATGCTTCCTTAAGCTGCTGTTATGAAGCAACAGGGAATGAGCTTCCAATTTTCATGTACAGGCACTTTGGAGGGGTGGAAAAATCAGAACTTTTTTTGAGATGAGAAATAATTTAACTTGTCCATGTTCATTTAAACCACTGGAGAAGGAGGGAGGCATGGACTTCTCCTGGCTGGCAGTTCTCATACTCAGGAACTCTGGGAGCTGGGTCATATCAATGGTCTTTGTTCTAGAGTTTTCTCCTACACACACACACACACACACACACACACACACACACACACACACACTTGCCATAAGAGATATAGAGATTGCATTTTGAGCTATAAAGATTTAACAACCTGAAAAATGACAAAATACCTTACACATCTCTAAAACATGAAGAGGGTTCTTCCTGCTCTGTCTGGCACTGTTTGGCAGTGTGTGGATTGACGTCTATCTGACCAGATCTTTCCTTTCTAGCTGAGTCTTGGAAGGAGCTAGAAGTGTACAGGATTTAGGACTCTGGGGTCTGCTACTGACACTGTTTGTTCTGGAGCAACTGTGTCCCTCCACAGCCCAGGAGGCTCTCATCTGAAGCAGAAAGACCACTGGAGCAGGGAACCTGGGTATTTGGGGTGATCAAAGTCAATGTGAGTGACCAAGACATATGCCAGATCCTCCATGAATGGATTTGCAAGGTTGACTCCTGACTGGTTACTTCCATAGCTGGTGGAGATGTAGCCTCCTGAACGCATTTCCAGAATTTTAATGGTGGAAATAGTGACCCAAGTCTCTGCCATTTGGGGAAATTGTGCAAACATGAGTGGGGTCAGTTAAGTTTGGATTCAGAGTGAAAGGATATTATCTACAAACACCGTAGTCTCCAATAAGTGAGTAAACAGACACATTTGGCTTGAGATTGAGGGCCTGGCCTGAGGAGAGAAAAGGACCCCTTACCAAACAGCATTTTTCTCTAAATGCCCCTTAAATGGAGACACAGTTGCCTGGTCTCCTGCGGTCTATTCTCTGTGAGGAATGTCTTCCCAGCTCCTCTGGCTGAGCATTGCCAGTTGTTTTGGGATTAACCCTTGGCCATCCAAGGCTTTGCTTACTGTTCTCTATCTCTTTCCTCTCTTCTGTCCCTCTGGCTTTCATTGGCCTGAAAGGGACAGAGAAGGTGGCCACCTGCAGATGCTTTCTGTGTGCATAGTGGAATCACAACCTCTGTGTGACCATGATTGCCTTAAGAAAATAGCCCTGTATCTTCACAAACTCTAGAGTTTTACTTGGAATCTGTCCATCAAGAAATTAGGTCTGCAGAGCTGTACAAACAAGGCAGCCCAGCAAGGCAGCACCTCCTATGGAGTTCTGTTGAGAGCTGAGAGCTGCAGTGCATTTGTCACACAGGGTGGAACCACAGCACTCAGATATGATTTTTAGCATCCTTGGCTTTTTCCCGCCCACACTTAAGGACACAAAAGTGGAGGCCCAGGAAGCTTCATGAATTGCTTTCAGTGGTCTCCTTCCCCTGGGCTGCTGCAAGCTCAAAGCAGCTCCTAGAGCTTGACCCTTCTCCGGATTATTTGAAACATACAAAGAATTCGGAGGAACTGGGAGGTGGAGGGTGGTAAGTAGACTTCTGTTCTTGGGAGCTGGATGAAACAGCCAAATTGTTTCTGCTGATATGTCAGCTTGGCTTTTGCCTTGGCAGGGCCCTTTGGCTTTGACTTGAGGCTCCTGGAGTGGGTCTGAATGTCACATGTATGCCAGAGCAATGGACTTGATATTTACACAAGCCACGCTGGTAAGTGCACATGTGTTTTTAATGCTTTGGCTTTCTACACCACAAACATGTCAACGCGTATATGTGTGTACACACAGATGTGCTGTCTGTTGGGCTGGGACTTGAATATGCTCTTAAAAATATATTTAAAAATTTTTAAACTGTCCTCCCAAAGCTAACACCTTCGTGAGCAACATTTCCCACCACACTGAGCAACTTTCACTAACTGCCGTCAGCAACGTGAAAGGCCACCATCAGGTGTCCAATCTGGAAAGCTACTGCATTTTGAATACACCAAACTGCCCCAAAGACCATCTTCCCCTGTCTTTGCTGGAGCCAAGGAGGACTCAGGCCCAGTTAGCCTAGAAACAACCAGTCTTTATACAACAGCCACAGAGCACCAAACCGTACAGAGTGAAGCAGCTAGTTGCTTTTAGGGAAAGTGTACAGAAAAAAAAGTCTTCATAAGCTCATGAAATTTGCAAGCATCATTACGGCTCCGTTTTTCTGAAAACTGATCCAAGTTAATTACAGCGTTAAACGTTCACTTTATTCGCCCCACACTTCTATCTACTCCCCCACTCTTTGCCTTTCCTTCCTGTTTTCTTTCTTGGTCTTATTTCTCTATATTTATTTTTTTGGCTTTGCTTTTTAAGGGGTGTTGACCTGTGTCTAGTTCTAGTAAACCGAGCCCTCTCGCCAGCGAAGCGATTGGTTAATTGCGCAGCTGACTGACGGGGTAATGAGTGCGGCTCCGGCAGCCGGGAGCTGATTGGCTGCGCGGGGAGACTCGAGGGCTTGGCCACCCGAGCACCGCGCACTCGAGTCCTGCAGCGCCGGGAGTAGGTGCCGCGCGCCCGCCCGCAGCCCGCCGCGCCTCTGCGAGCCGGGACGCCGCTCCGCCGCCGTGCCGCGCTCCCCTCCCCGCGCCAGCTCCCGCCGCCGCGCCTGCAGCAGGCCGAGAGCCGCCACCCGCCGGAGACCCCGCAGGAGCGCGCGGCCGCGGAGCCCGGCAGGGGTGGGGACGGCGCCTTTTGTCCCTGGAGATTCTTGGAAGTTTGCGGCGGGACGCGCTCGCAAGGGCAGCGCAGGCAGCCCCGACGTCGCGGGAGCGAGTGCGCCGAGCCAGCATGGGCAGCGGGCGCGGCGCGGGGGGCCGCCGCTGGGCCGCCTCGAGCGTGTTGCTGGCGCTGGCCGCGGGGCTCCTGGGCGCGAGCTCGGCCAACGAGTACGACTACGTGAGCTTCCAGTCGGATATCGGCTCGTACCAGAGCGGACGCTTCTACACCAAGCCACCGCAGTGCGTGGACATCCCGGTGGACCTGCGGCTGTGCCACAACGTGGGCTACAAGAAGATGGTGTTGCCCAACCTGCTGGAGCACGAGACCATGGCCGAGGTGAAGCAGCAGGCCAGCAGCTGGGTGCCCCTGCTCAACAAGAACTGCCACATCGGCACCCAGGTCTTCCTCTGCTCGCTCTTTGCTCCCGTCTGCCTGGACCGGCCCATCTACCCGTGCCGCTGGCTCTGCGAGGCCGTGCGCGACTCGTGCGAGCCTGTCATGCAGTTCTTCGGCTTCTACTGGCCCGAGATGCTCAAGTGTGATAAGTTTCCCGACGGGGACGTCTGCATCGCCATGACCCCACCCAATGCCACCGAAGCATCCAAGCCCCAAGGTAAGGGCGCCCCCGTTCCGTTCCCGCGAGCCCCTAGCCAGGGGGGCGCCTTCCCGGGGACACCCCTGCCACCACGTCTCGGCTCGTGCCTGCGCCCCGAGTCCAGACGTGCTGCTGACGTCGTCCTTAAGGCGTGCGGACTGACTCTAACCCTCGCCTCGCCAGACCCGGGTGCCCGTGATTCTTGCCCGAGAGCTGCGGCTCTGCTCCCGCGTCCCGCAAAGGCTCGGTCCGCCCGCTGGAGCGGCGCTTCTTGCGTTCCAGTGTCGCTTTTGCCATACCTGAAACAAAGCCTCACCCTTTAAATAAAAGTAGAGCTCTCCTCTCTTCTGCGAGGGTACCGAGTCTCCTTGCAAAGTTTTTAGCATCCTAGACGGGATGTCGCGTAGGAAAATGGCAAAGCTCAAAGTGAAGAAAGCTCAGAAAGGAGGATGCTGGGCGCAGCGTTGTTGATTTTCGTGGGTTCGAGAGGATTGTTTTCGAAAAACCCCTTTCCTTAGCTAGTCATGCAGCCCAGTAGCCCCTGGAGTGCTGCACATCTGGCTGAGAACAGTTTCCAAGTGGTGGGGATTTGTTTCTTTACCTCCTTCAGGTATTCACGGAGGCTTAGGGAACGGAATATCTCTTCTCCAGTATCTCTGCATACCCCCTGCTTCTCTCATTTACACAAATCTTCAGGTAATTAGAAAGATAAAAATGTAATTAGTTTATTGTTTATCTCCTCCAGAGGGGGTGGGGACCTGCAAATTGAGCATTGCAAGTTCCTAACAGCTCTGGACCTGAGGTTCCTCCCAGAACCCTCTCCTACTTAAAAGGTGGTTCTCCAATGGAAATTAAAAAAAAAAAAAAGAAATCTGGGGAAGCAATAAAAACAACCCTCCCAAACCCATCCCCAGCCCAGCCTGGTGGCCTGATTTTAGGGGAGTGAATTCGACCCTGAGTTCCTCCAAAGTAGGGATAAGGAGGGTAAAAATGTGCCGGTAATCTGGGGCAAGGGTACTGTACTGCTCTCCCCACCATGTGGCTGGCACAGGGGTGGAATCCAGAGGGTTTTTTGAGGAAGGCTGAGACTTCAGCTCACCTCCAAGTGCTTGGTGTATTTAACCTCTGTTGTTGACGCTCAAAAGAGGGGTGAGCAGTTAACAGGCTACCCTGGAGTGAGGATAGACGGGGACCGAGGGACACCCTGAAGTTTGACTGTTCTTGCTTATTTTAAGGAGGGAGTCAGGTTCAAAGTGACTGACGCTGGGTGGCATGGGGCCAGGGCGGGTAGGATAGGCAAGTGGTCTGTCTCCTGCCTGCAGTGGCCCGGTGGCAGTTCTGCTCTCAGGGTCAACTTTCCTGCAGGTGCAGCCCTCTGAGCGCGAGAGGGGAGCATTCCCCAGAGCAAAGCCCTTGGTGCTCTGTGACTTGGAGCCTTACCTGCTGCAGGCCGCAGGGCATTCTTCTACCATTCTAGCTGCTGGGTTAGCCCAGCCCTGCCCAGAGGCTGTGTCCACCTCGGTTACTGTTGGCCCTTTATGGGACCACTGGTGGACATAAAATGGAGACCTTTGGGCACACACTTTGTGGAAAGTGGCTGATGTCCAAGGGCAGTGTTGGGGGGACTGGATGGAGTAGTACTTGCCCCAGAGAGGGAAGAACCTTCCAACCTCAGCCCTCCAGAAGACTGCCCATGGATTCAGGGGACCCACCATTGCTGACCTTCTGGATGCCTTGTGCCCTGTTGGTCACTGCTGTTTCCACTGGTCTGCCCTTCCTTGCTGCCAGCCCAGGTTGTCAACTGCCGCCACACAGTTCTTTGCTGAATGAAGAGAGAAAGGCCAGAGAGGGAGAGTCAGTTGGGAGTGAAGCAGGGCTTGGAGCAGACTCTCCCCTCAGTGATTTTGCTCAGAGCTATCTTGAAAGGGCTCATGTTCCTCCCAGGACTTCAGCTTTTGGTGCCAGGGAGCCCCATGTAAAGTCCTTTGAGGCTGCCTGGCCCTGACTGTCAGCTGAGCACTGAGGTGAGAAGGCACCCTGTGTGTGTGTCTGTGACAGAGAAAACTTCTGGTTCTCAGAGCCTTCTGGCTGATGCCTCAGGAGCAAGACATGGTAGTTTTGGATGAGAATAAGACCGGACATTGTATTATTCTTTTATTCACGTACCCCTTAGTCTTTGTATTCTTCAACATTAAAACTAAATTTTCAACACAGTGTCAATCTTTGCATACTTTAAGTTGGTTTCTGTTCCCATACTTGGGCACATGTAGTTTTGAGGGTACTAAACAGTCTTGTCATTAAGGGTAGGTTTGATAGTAAGAAATGAGTCAAAAAGTGTTTTTCTCCCCCAAGGCATATGTCTAAGCCACATGGGCTTCTGTTACAGAAGAGGCAGTAATTCCCATTCCAGGAAAGTGATTTCTAAATCTCGCACTTACATTAGACCCAGGCCAAGAAATTGTTCTTCTCCTTCCTTGGCAGGTTTCACGATGGGAATGTGGGAGAGAGCCGTCTAGTGTAGTTTTGTTGTTTAGGCATGTTGTTCCCTAGATCAGCCTGGCTGTTTTAGTTACAGGTTGTAGGGGCCAGGGTGCCCTTACTTCCCCAGAGCCTTGGCTTTTGGTGATCTGGTCACGGAAGATTTGGTGTGTGTGTGTGTGTGTGTGTGTGTGTGTGTGTGTGTGTGTGAGAGAGAGAGAGAGAGAGAGAGAGAGAGAGAGAGAGAGACGCTAGGTATCTTGTGTATGTGAGAGAGATCGTCCTGATTCTAGACTTGGTCTTTTTCCTCACTCTCCCTTAAATATTTATTAATAAGATATAAAACCCTTTAGCTTTTTATTCATTTGCTTTAAACATTGTTTTAAAACACAACTTACACAGTGATTTAGTTCTCTTCTCAGATGCAAGCTGGGTGGATTTCCCGGCGAGGCAGCCTGCAGGGCTGTGGGGGACACACAGGGGCACAGATTAATATTGCGTTACACATTCCTTCTCTGGCTAAAGCCACTCCAGAGACTGGCTGCAAGAAAAGTGGAGATGAGGGAAAGCCATATTGAAAACATACAGCTCCCTGCAAGGAGCCTTTGGCTGCCAGTGGCTTCCAGGGAACCCTGAGGACCTATGGTGAATATGTGGAGAGTTCCTAAGAGACTTGTATTCAGATTGCCTTGACTTTGGTCAGCATTGTATTCCTAGAACCCTGCAATGTGGTAACTTCCACTTAAAAAAAGAAAAAGCGAACACAAAACCAACAAGACAAGGAAAACCCTAAAGCACAGTTCACACTCCTGGTTTGGGTCACATGCTTCTTTCCATGTTGCAGGTCTTCCTTTCCCTTTTTTCTCTCCATGGAAGCAAGAACCATGATAGGAAATTCTGGGTAAGGTTTTTCTTTGGTTAGAAGACATCCAGAATTCACTTCCAGAATCCAGTCTCAAGTTCTGGGTGTAAAACATTTCCAACATCTGGCCTAAAGGCAGTTATGCCATCCTCTGCTGGAGTGTGGTTCTTGGTGCCATGAAAATCTGGAAGGTATTTGGGGTTAATCACCCAGTACAGGTGAGAGAGGGATCTGTTAATACAAGGCCCTGCTGGGCTCTGCAGGGAGGTCTGGGGAGAGCAGTGATGGGTCACTGTGCAGCTCCCTCCTTCCACCACCTTGGGAGTAAGGGGGGCTTTGCCCATTTCAGTCTGAGCCATAAGGGGCTCCAGCAGGAGGGTAGATGTTGTAAGCAGAAGCCACAGGAAAGGGAGGAGGAGGACAAAGCAGAGGTGCTCAGTGCAGCAAACCTGGCCTGGCCTCCCATCCCCCTGGGTGTCCCATCTTGGATGATTTTCCTGTGGTTTTTAGCCACAGCCCAGCTTGGGCCTCCTGTGCAGTGTGGGATGTAGACTGTCCATAGAATGTGCTGGTGTTTTTCTGAGTGCTTCATGAATTCCCAGTTGTTTGATAGATAAAAAGGAGGAAGACAGTGATGACAAGCCAACAACAACAAACCTTGGAGGACTCTCCTGAAGTGCTCTTGTGTTCTCTCTGCCTTTCTGATGGAAGGAATCCCTCCAGCTTCAGCAGCATTTTGGCTTGCAGGAGGGCTCTGGCCCTGGCCTCAGAAACTTCCTCCCCTGGGGCCCAGTGGCCTCCCAGTGGCATACATGTCTGCCTGCACTCACCTCTTCAAAGCACTTCACAGTCGCTCCTGAAAGAGCCTCCAAAGGGTCCCTCCCCAGTCAGCTCTGTTTTCCCATTTGGTGTCTCCTGCCAGTGCCTCCCCACCCCCACCCAGCTGCCGACTTCATGCTCAGGCCAGCCCCTACTGCAGTGGGCTTTTTTGGAGGGGGTTGTTCAGGGGTCTGGGGCTAATATTTGTGAGTCTGACTGTATTTCTCTCCACTCCTAAAGAGCTGGCCAAATGATGGACCGTTTTGCTAGGAGTTTGCAGTTGGGAGGAGGGCAGGCATCGGGGATATGTACAGGAGAGTGGGAAGGGCAGGAAAGAAACGATGGAATAAATCTGTTTTGGTTTATAATCCAGCATTTTTCAGGACTCCCAGCAGCCCACAAATCATGATTTGTAGGACCTGTTCCTACCTACCTCCAAGAGCAGAAGTTTAAATGTGTCGTATTCAGAACCTGTAGCTATTCACCTACTTATGGCTATGGACCCTGGCCTCTAGGGCCCTTCTTTCTTGATTCTCAGGATACCCTTCAGAATTCCAGAAGACCTGTAGCAACTTTCAAACTGGTTCCATGGATGATCTCTTCCCCAGGGCTCTCCATCCCCATAACTTACAGCTTCTGTTTCTTCCCCTTTTCCTTCCTAGGTACAACTGTCTGTCCTCCATGTGATAATGAATTGAAATCTGAGGCCATCATTGAGCATCTCTGTGCAAGCGAGTTTGGTAAGACTGTGTTTCTGGCCACTTCTTGGGGATCTGGAATCCTTGCTTTCCCTTGTCCTGTGTCCCTAGTGAACAGGGAGCCTGGGGGTGGGTACCTCCTGTTGGCATTTTCCCTTCTCTACCTCCATTTCCATTCTCTGTTTTTCTGAGGCAGAAGTCTCTGGATAAGGTAGAGAACTGACCACTTTATATTTAAGTCAAACTACTTCTGCTCTTTCCTGTGGGGTGTCATTGAACAGATTTGGGGGGTCCCTCCTGAGTGACAGAGGGAGAACAGACGAGGAGACAGGTGGACAGGAGCCAGGGGAACACTAGCTCTTCAGAAACTACAAGGAGATACGGCCCCTCTCAGTGCTCCAGAGGCTGCCCTGGTGGGTTCTTTTTGATATCCACCCCTAGGTGTCAGCACTACTCTACCCAGGGGGCCTTCCTCAGAGGGAGACTTCAATACTTAGGGGCTTCAGAGTGGAGACTCCCCCGCCCACCCCTGTCACATTCTCCCAGACAAAGCAAATTGACATCTCCACAGGAGCAGTTTTCCTCCTTTCTCCCCCACCACTCTGGATTGAGAGAGAATTTTCAGTAGCACCTGCAGCTAGCTCCCAGAGCAGGGCTGGACTGGACCTGAGAGGGCAGATACGTGGGATCTTTGGGGAGGGTCTCTCATAGTCTGAATCTTGGAAGACCCAAGTTCTAAAACCCCTGTGGGTAAATGTGAACTGTGTGCTGTTGGAGGCCAGCTCCCTTCCTGTCTCCTGCCCCTGCCCTTCATGGATGCAGAGGCAACCTAGTTCGCTGACGGACAGGTTCAGCTTGATGCAGAGCAATGTGGTTCTCTTCACTCCTGCACTGTGTCCCTGAGACTGGATTCCTTACAGAGGTCTTACCAGGAAAAGCATGAAGGTAGGTATCGTGAGGCTTTGCGTTCACTCAGGGACACATCGTCTGTGTTTCCCCCAATCGGACATGAGTTGTACACATGTGCAGGAGCACACACAAGACCAAGGAAATGGTACGGCCTGGCACCTCCATACTCGCATAAGATGGAAGTTGGAGAATTCAGGCCGTTGCCACAGAGACCTTCATGGGAATGGATGTTCTTTGTGGCTTTTATTTTGACATCAGGTGTCTGCTGCCTCCTTTGTCGTTGGGGGGAGGATAATGGCACTTCCAGGAAAAATTTGGCCTCTGATATGTTTTGGTGCTTGTGTTTGAGTCACACCCTTTATTCTTATTGCCATTTTATTTTTTATCTTTGTATTAACTGGTTAATTTTTGATACAGGGTCATGCTGTATTGCCCAGGCTGGCCTTGAACTCTGTCCTCCTGCCTCAGCCTCCTGTGTGCTGGGGCTACAGGTATGCACCAGTGTGCCTGGCTCCTTGTTGCTATCTAAAATGAACTCAAAATTGTAGAAGGCTCCTGCAGTCATACACACAGTGTGATTGTCCTTCCATTCAACTAAGGATCATAATATTTGCTTCTTTATTTATTTACTTATTGATTGATTGCAGTACTGGGGTTTGAACTAGGGCTTTGCGCTTGCGAGGCAGCACTCTACTGCTTGAACCATACCTCCAGCGCTTTTTGCTTTGGTGATTTTGGAAATAGGGTCTTCCTTTTTGCCCAGGCTGGCATGGATCGAGATCCTCCTATTTCAAGCTTCCTGCTGTTGCTGGGATGACAGGCATGCACTACCCTGCCCGGCTTTTCTCCATTGAGATGGGGGTCTCATAAACGTTTTATGCCCAGGGTGTCCTGGAACTGCAGCCCTCCAGATCTCAAGTAGCTTGTGATGACAGGCACATGCCACTGTCCCACTGTACCCAGCTACTGGTTGAGATGAAGTTTTGCAACTTGTTGCCTGGGCTGGCCTCAAACCACAGTTCTCCTGATCTCAGCCTCCCAAGTAGCTAGGATTATAGGTGTGAGCTACTGGCACCTGGCTAGCATTTGTTTCTTGATGTTAATACTTTTGCTGTATTGGGATGCCCCAGGCTGGACTGAGCCTGGCAGGTCGCCTTCTGTATACTCTATGGAAGGTCTCCCTCTGTATGGTGTGAGGGTTGTATACCTCAGCAACAAGCTTTTTATTCACAAAGACACAGTGACTTCCTTCCCAAAGATGCATTTAGATATAGCGGAAACAAGGACATAAATAAATCTCTCAGACATCCTGACAGGAAGCCTTTGGTTGCTAGAACAGGAAGAATGGGCTCATGTATGACTGAGATCCCAAAGGATCCTAATGAAAGGTAGCTTAGGGGCTGCTCTTTTAAGTTTAGTTGATCTTCAGATATGTAAATCACAGTGCTCATTTGTACAAATTGGGCTCCTTACATTTTAGAAGTGCAAAGAATCATATTAGAGGGAAGTCTCAAAGATAATGCTTTAGGTTCATGTGATTTAACCACATTTGGCCCTTTAGGGAAGAGTGGTGGAAGTCCCTGGAATTGAGGGTGTGGATGTGACTGACTGTTCACAGTCACTCAAGGAAAACTCAAAATTCCTTGAGGAAACTTGAAATTCCACCTGTCTGATCATTTGTATGTATATATCCCTTCATTCAACATTTATTGCATATAAAACACTGTGCTAAACACTGTAATCCCAAAACATCTACCTAGAATAATTAAAATTAAAATTTTAGATTTAAAAAAATCTTGACCAGATGTAAGTCAGTGATTTGCTAGAGATCTGTGGACTCAGGTTATAACTCAAATGCTACGTGGACGGGGCCATGGGAACTCAAGGCCAAAGTTAGTGTTAAGGAGCAGAGAAAATTTGGAGCGCCATGTCTTTAAGCTCAGAATCTTTGTCTGGAACTCTCCAACCCCAAATCATCATCAGGTCTCCTCCCTGCTATCCCAGTTGCTCACCTAAATCCTGGTACCTTCAGTAGACATGGGCTAAAGACTCTGAGCCTTGAGAAAGAATTTGAATGTGGTGAGGTTGACCAGAAGATGGTCTGGTAACTCACTGGCATCCTTTCCCTCTACCTAGCATCTTGCTGACTCAGCAAGCCACCCATATATGGCTTACTCAAAGGAGGGTGTATTTTACCTAAATAACCAGCTAGACCTCAGAGGACCTCAGTGGTTAGCTGTTTACATTTGTGTCCCTTTAGGCTTGAGATTATTTTCTTCTTGAGTTTGTAAGGTCCTCTGGGGTCTTAGAGCCTACCTTGTCAGGTTCTTTATTTGATAAGTAAGGAGTCTGACTTTTCCACTGGACTCCTTTCACGCCCTGTGGGGCTGCCTTGCTCCTAAGGAGATGATGAATTGTGCTGGGACTTAACCACTGAAGCATTGGTTTGTGTAGAGTGAGAACGGCCTATGTCAGGCTGCTTTGATGGCACATGACTCTCTTGTTTATTTTTTTGTTTGTTTGTAAGGTTCTTTTTTATTATTTTGGTGGTACTAGGGTTTGAACTTAGGGCTTCACGCTTGCTAGACAGGCACTCTACCACTTGAACCACTCCACCAGCCCTGTTTATAAGGTTCTGTAAAACAATAAATGGGATTTCCCCCACCCCCACCCCCTTCTCTGCAGGGGCTGAGCTTAGCCCTGCTGTTCTTAGCACCCTGGAGAAGGCAGCCTTGTTGAGAAACTACCTCAGTTCATTTCAAGTAAGCGATGCAGTCAGCCACACTGATGGGATTCAGTGAGGAAACAAAGACATTTGAAAATGCAAGCTGACACACAACAGAGAAGAAAAAGAATGTTTGACTCCCTACTTCAGAGATCAAACTCTGCATTCAGTGGTCTGCTGTCCTCAGCGGGAAGACATCAGTTGTTCGAAGACATTCTGGGAGCTCTGGGTCTGCATGCTCTTTCGCTCTCCTGCCAGTACATGCTTGGACTCTTGCAGTCACCATGGTGCTGGGCGTGCCCAGCCCATTACCTTCTCCCTGGATAATGCATTTGCAGCCTTCTGGCAGGTCTGCCTAGCTATTCATCTCTCCACCCCAGCACTGTACCCCCTCAGTTCAGAGCACATTTTTCTCCCCAACAGGGAAAAACATCAGCAGAAAAGCCTGCTCAGGAATGCAGCTAAATCAGCCTGGATCAAGCACCAGATGTGGAAAGCCAAAAGTTAGATGGTGCAGTCTCCAGATTCAACATGGCGGCCAGCCTGCCTGCTTCAGTTAGGCTGCACAGCTCTGCTTGCTGTTCTCTCTGCTTTTCCTGCTGTAGGACAACAGGATTCTATGCTGGTGTCTTAAGCAGTCTGACATGGCGTAATAATCTTGCTCAGTTCCCACAGCCACCTTTCCTCCAGGTCAGTTTATCTCAGGGATATAAGAATCAGATTTATAATTGGTGTGAGGTTAGCATTCGATTCTGGCCACTTTCTGAAGCTGCTTCTGCAGTACCTGCAAACCCCTTAAGCTTTCCTGGCAGAAATTTGCTTGATGATGTATAGTACTTTTGCTAAGATAGTTCAGAGCGTCCTCTTGTACTAGCTTAAGTTTTTTTGAGCTTGAGAGTTTAGGTGGCAACTTTAGCCCTCCTATTTTCTTGCTGTGGAAAAAGATTTCTTTGCCCTCAGAAATTTTCCTTGCTTTCTGGAAGGATTTTTTTTTTTCACTTATATATTTCCTCACCAACAGAATAACTGTACTTTCCAGTGTTAAAATTAATTAAATAGGAAAGAAAAAGAAAATCTGCTCTCACAGCCAACATTTGGTAGTATTTCCTAGAAGAAATATTCTCTGAGGGCCTCACACCCTCTGTGATTCTGTCCTCACTCTGCTCTACCCGTCTCTCAAGGCTTCTTGGCTGTGGTGTGGTGTGGAGGACAGTGTTTCACTCTGCAGGGCAGTTTGCTTTCTTGCAAAAAGTAGGCTCAGGCTTTCCAAACTAAACCTCGGGTTTCCTCCTGAGGATGAGGAAAACTGGCTGCCAGCACCGTAATTGCAGCATCTGTAAGCTGCTTGAGAGTAGCCTCTGTGTCCTGGGTCACATTTTATTCCCAATGTCAGATGCCCGTTAATTGTGAGATGCACTATTCATTTTGCACTACTGACAAAGAAAACATACTGCATGCTAGGAAGTATGTAGTGAACGAAATAAGGCCTATTTGTACTTAAATTGTCCCTGGCACAGTGTCTCATTCATGGCAGGCATAAAATAAAAAATTGTCAGGTAAGTGTGCGAATGATAGGGATGGCAGGGACCAGGAGACTGGACTTCCTTGTTTGTAAAGGAGAGAGATCCTTTCCAAGTGAATATGTGCAATTTGTTTATTAAGTTCAAGGAAAACCACCTGCCTGTTTTGGGTGATTGTCTGTATATATATGTGAAATCAACCCCAACATCTACAAATCTAGTTCAGCCAAAGTAAAATGAAACAGACATGGAAGAAGGAGCTGCTACTCCCATGATAGAGGTGGCAGACTGAAAACAGCTGGATCTTATTGTCACTGAAGCTCTCTGAAATTGTACCCTATCCATGGAGCTGTAGGTGCCTGGACAGTTATGCATGTGTGGGAAGACATTCCTTTGTTCAGTGCCCTGGATGTGTAACTAGGCTTCTGATACATGCATGAGGTCGGGGTGCAGTACAGAGACCCTGGCTGAATCTGAAGCCCTTGGAAGCCCTCCAGTGGGCAGGGTGTGTGTAATGTCAGTTACCTGCTCAGAGTGGGGGCCCCAAAGCTGGGGGCCTGCCCTGAGGATCCAGGCCCTGTGCAGTTTGGGCTGAGGTCACACATTGAGGAACCATGAGGAAAAGCTGCAAAGAGCCAAATTTCCTCTTCTGGTGAGTATGGTGCACCTTTCCTCCACCACTAATTCTCTCTTGGCTCTAACTGTGGCAAGAAGATACTAGATAAGGCACTGATTATCACTTTAGCATCTTTACATCAGTGGAAGCATACTAAAGTATGGGAAAGGACACATACCTCTGGGACCCATGGATGGGCCACTGCATCCTCTGAAGCTGCATTCACTCCTCCCTCAGCTTCCTTCCAGGGCCACTGTATGTGTGCCCTGCCACAGTAGACACATCTCAGTGGGATCATAGCTGATGCCCATGGAGATAATTTTGTAAGGAGCAGATGAGATGAAATTGTATCTCATAGGCTGAACATCTAGTTCATTTTGGTGTTTTTTTTTTTTTTTTTTCAGGGATGGAAGTAACAAGAGGTCTGTCCTGATCAAACGAGGTCTCCTTCATGGGTTTCACCAAAAAAACTGAGGGGTGATTTTAGAAGTTCTTCTGTCCTCTGGTGATGCTCTTTTCAGCCCTTCACCCTCTTTGCATCTTGCAGGGTTGACTGCTTCTCTTGTCCTGAAACAGATTTTGGAATGGGCGTGATCTGTTAGGATCCACTGATGCATGATTTCCATCTGTGATTCAGTTCAGCTCTGACTAGTGTATTCCTTGTGATGGGCAGTTGCCAAACAGTGTGTCTAGGTGTCCTTGGATGTTCCTTTCAACCTGCAGTTCTGATTCTCTGGTTGTAAGTGGCCCTGACCCATTGCCTGGCCCCGCTGCCCCTCCCCCTCCCCACTCACTGTGGTTATGTATCTAATATAAAACTTACCGTTTTGCCATGCTTAGTGCTCAGGCAGTAGCATTAACATCGGCTCCACATTCACATTGTGGAGCATACGCCTCCACCGCCTATCTGGATTTTTCATCATCCAAACTAAAATTCTGTACCCGTTAAACATTAACTTCCCATTTCCCCTTCCCACAGCCTGGTCATCACCATTCTCCTTTTTGACTCTGAGAATGTGACCTCTCTAGGGACTTCATGGGAGTGCTCAGGCAGTATTGCTCCTTGTGCCTGTTTTGCTAAGCATCTCTGGATGGATACAGTAACTCTCCTGCAGAAGGAGGGCAAGGGCAAAGATTTGCCCTCAAATTTCACTTTTATCTTCTGAAGCTTTTCTGGTGGGGTTAGAGAAAGAGGGATGGGGGATGGTTACAGGCCTGGCATGCTGCCCATTTCTTTGGACACTGTGTTGCTCACCTGTACAGTTTGTCATTGTAAGGAGACGCTGAGTTGAATGGGACCTCAGAGATCAACCAGTCCATGCCCTCCTCTCACAGACTGAAGAGTAAGATAAAGGCGTTAGCTTTCCTTCCCACCAGAATGCATATTTTCACACCTCCCTGTCCTCCCGCACCCAGGGTAGAGGAGCTTCCTAGTTGCCACCAGTACTCCTTTGGGTTCAGAGTGTGGACTTTAAATGGACTGATGCCTGTGTCTCACACACAGCAGGAGCCCAGCCATTGTTGAATTCCCTCTTGGTGGAGAGGCAGGCAGGCTTTGGGGAACACAGACTTGTTGAAATCCCAGCCCTTCAAGCTGAGTATACAGGAGAAAGTCTGTTAACTTCCCTGGGCCTGGTTTCGCCATTTGCAAAATCTGGATGGTAATTCCAATGTTGCTATGGTGTGGGGAAAACTGAATTAAGCAAGCAGATTAATTCATTCCAGTTCCTGGAATATGGTGGCTGTTGAATTTATCATAATGATCTCTTATTAGAAAATCATTTCAGGCTCAAACACAGTTTAGGAAGAATTCTAGCACTCATGAAATCAACTTGTTACCAGGTATAGTAGAGCACACTTGTAATCCTGCCAGCTAACTGGCAGGCAGAGGTAGGACTGTCTCCAACTGAGTGACTGAGGCCAACCTGGATAATAAAAGCTGGAGATCTTATCTGAAAAATAAACTGAAAGCAAAAGGACTCGGCAATGGCTCAAGTAGTAGAGTACTTGCCTATCATGTGCAAGCCCTTGAGTTCAATCCCCAATATTGTCAAGAAAAAAAAAAAAAAGAAAAGAAAAGAATTGGAATGGAATGTCCTAGTTAATTCTCTAGTTAGAAGGTGACTGAACTGAAGAAGCCCTTTAGAAGACCCCTTTAGAAAAATTTTAAAAATTTATGCAACTTCAAGGTACTATAGTTAATTCTCCCAGCCTCAAGCCATAAATAGCAAAGTGAAGGTCTAGATTTTAGTTAGATGACATCCTTAAGTCATCCTACAGCCAGAATCCACTGCACAATTATGACTGAATGTACACCAGCTCCACAACACGCCCACTGAAGTTTCCTTTGTGTTTTTGTGTGCTTTTAAGAAATCTTGGGCCTAATAGATTCTTCTCATAATTTATCAGAGTCTGTTTCAGACAGATTTCGGAGCCCTTTGTCTTGGGCACCTCCTTTTCTCTCCCCTTTTTCTTAAGCAATACCTCCGGGGCAGGTTTTCTTTTCTTTTTCAACAGCTGCCTTGTGATATTCATCCCCCAAATAGGCTATATTCAAAAGCAAGGGAGCATATAAATATTGGTAGGTTTCATCCAGTTTTGCAGAAATGAGCTAGAAGAAGCTCCAATCTGTATTTTTTTTTTAAAAGAGAACAAATGGCCAAAGAAATGTCAGACCCTTGCCCTGCCCCAGCCTGCTAGAGCAGCCAATTAAACATGCATTAGCCTTGGAAGGCTTCTCAAAGGCCTATGGATTGTGCTTGAAATCTTTGTTTAGTCTTTCAGGAACACTGTCACACGGATGATTTATCAAAGAAAGTTGTTTATCTGGCAGTAAAATAAACTCTGGGCCTGTTCAGACCAAGATTTCCCGTGAATTTCTACCAAGGTAAACACTGGTGACTGGCAGGTTGCAAATTCCGTGTGAAAGCCAGACACATACAATAAATATTTGAACTACAACTTTGCCATGTAAGAGGCCCTGCCTGTCACTAGCGCTGTCACTCCTGGATGTAGTCGGCTGGGCGGACTGGCACTGTCCGTGTCTGCGGGAACCACCTCTGTTTGGGCCTTCCTGGGTCTGAGTACCACTTAGAGATGGCACCTGAGGACTTCCTTGTTCAGAGGGGGTGGCCTCAGGGTGCCCTTTCTCAGCAACACAGACAGTCTGGGATGGAGTTCGAGGGAGGCGAACCAAAGCAGCCAGCTTAGTTTCTTTGAAAATAGATATTTGTGGGATGAATTTGTCAGGGGCTGGGCACCTTGAATGATTTGGGAGCTGGGACCAGGACATGGTGACCAGGGATGGAATCACCTATATTCTGTTGAGTTTTAATTCTGGTGTCAAAAACTTCACTGTACACTCACCCTGGGGTCCCTGGCTTTGCTCCTTGGTGGTTTTGAGAGGTTTGTGTGGGGAAGCAGA